TATCAGAAGTCTCTCTGTAGCAGCAGACTGACTGAGTATCAGAAGTCTCTCTATAGCTGCAGACTGTCTGAGTATCAGAAGTCTCTCTATAGCTGCAGACTGTCTGAGTATCAGAAGTCTCTCTGTAGCAGCAGACTGTCTGAGTATCAGAAGTCTCTCTATAGCAGCAGACTGTCTGAGTATCAGAAGTCTCTCTATAGCAGCAGACTGTCTGAGTATCAGAAGTCTCTCTATAGCAGCAGACTGACTGAGTATCAGAAGTCTCTCTATAGCAGCAGACTGTCTGAGTATCAGAAGTCTCTCTATAGCAGCAGACTGTCTGAGTATCAGAAGTCTCTCTATAGCAGCAGACTGTCTGAGTATCAGAAGTCTCTCTATAGCAGCAGACTGTCTGAGTATCAGAAGTCTCTCTATAGCTGCAGACTGTCTGAGTATCAGAAGTCTCTCTATAGCAGCAGACTGTCTGAGTATCAGAAGTCTCTCTATAGCAGCAGACTGTCTGAGTATCAGAAGTCTCTCTATAGCAGCAGACTGACTGAGTATCAGAAGTCTCTCTATAGCAGCAGACTGACTGAGCATCAGAAGTCTCTCTATAGCAGCAGACTGACTGAGTATCAGAAGTCTCTCTATAGCAGCAGACTGACTGAGTATCAGAAGTCTCTCTATAGCTGCAGACTGACTGAGTATCAGAAGTCTCTCTATAGCAGCAGACTGTCTGAGTATCAGAAGTCTCTCTATAGCTGCAGACTGACTGAGTATCAGAAGTCTCTCTATAGCAGCAGACTGACTGAGTATCAGAAGTCTCTCTATAGCAGCAGACTGTCTGAGTATCAGAAGTCTCTCTATAACAGCAGACTGTCTGAGTATCAGAAGTCTCTCTATAGCAGCAGACTGACTGAGTATCAGAAGTCTCTCTATAACAGCAGACTGTCTGAGTATCAGAAGTCTCTCTATAGCAGCAGACTGTCTGAGTATCAGAAGTCTCTCTATAGCAGCAGACTGACTGAGTATCAGAAGTCTCTCAGTAGCAGCAGACTGACTGAGTATCAGAAGTCTCTCTATAGCAGCAGACTGACTGAGTATCAGAAGTCTCTCTATAGCAGCAGACTGACTGAGTATCAGAAGTCTCTCTATAGCAGCAGACTGACTGAGTATCAGAAGTCTCTCTATAGCAGCAGACTGACTGAGTATCAGAAGTCTCTCAGTAGCAGCAGACTGACTGAGTATCAGAAGTCTCTCTATAGCAGCAGACTGACTGAGTATCAGAAGTCTCTCTATAGCAGCAGACTGACTGAGTATCAGAAGTCTCTCTATAGCAGCAGACTGACTGAGTATCAGAAGTCTCTCTATAGCTGCAGACTGTCTGAGTATCAGAAGTCTCTCTATAGCAGCAGACTGTCTGAGTATCAGAAGTCTCTCTATAGCAGCAGACTGACTGAGTATCAGAAGTCTCTCTATAGCAGCAGACTGACTGAGTATCAGAAGTCTCTCTATAGCTGCAGACTGACTGAGTATCAGAAGTCTCTCTATAGCAGCAGACTGTCTGAGTATCAGAAGTCTCTCTATAGCTGCAGACTGACTGAGTATCAGAAGTCTCTCTATAGCAGCAGACTGTCTGAGCATCAGAAGTCTCTCTGTAGCAGCAGACTGTCTGAGTATCAGAAGTCTCTCTATAGCAGCAGACTGTCTGAGTATCAGAAGTCTCTCTATAGCAGCAGACTGTCTGAGTATCAGAAGTCTCTCTATAGCAGCAGACTGTCTGAGTATCAGAAGTCTCTCTATAGCAGCAGACTGACTGAGTATCAGAAGTCTCTCTATAGCAGCAGACTGACTGAGTATCAGAAGTCTCTCTATAGCAGCAGACTGACTGAGTATCAGAAGTCTCTCTATAGCAGCAGACTGACTGAGCATCAGAAGTCTCTCTATAGCAGCAGACTGACTGAGCATCAGAAGTCTCTCTATAGCAGCAGACTGTCTGAGCATCAGAAGTCTCTCTATAGCAGCAGACTGTCTGAGTATCAGAAGTCTCTCTATAGCAGCAGACTGACTGAGTATCAGAAGTCTCTCTGTAGCAGCAGACTGACTGAGTATCAGAAGTCTCTCTATAACAGCAGACTGTCTGAGTATCAGAAGTCTCTCTATAGCAGCAGACTGACTGAGTATCAGAAGTCTCTCTATAGCAGCAGACTGACTGAGTATCAGAAGTCTCTCTATAGCAGCAGACTGACTGAGTATCAGAAGTCTCTCTATAGCAGCAGACTGACTGAGTATCAGAAGTCTCTCTATAGCTGCAGACTGTCTGAGTATCAGAAGTCTCTCTATAGCAGCAGACTGTCTGAGTATCAGAAGTCTCTCTATAGCAGCAGACTGTCTGAGTATCAGAAGTCTCTCTATAGCAGCAGACTGACTGAGTATCAGAAGTCTCTCTATAGCAGCAGACTGCCTGAGCATCAGAAGTCTTGCTCCATGCAATAGTCAGTATCACAGGGAGCGCAGCTCACCCCATCCTATTTTCCTTCTCTCTCCATGAATGTTATGTTCATTCTTTTATAATGACCTTGCGGTGTCTTCCGATCCTCTCTAGTTACTTACAGATGCTGCGCCTTCTGCTGGTTCGGGGGATTTCACAATGAGTGGTTGCCCCACCAGCTTGCCATGCCCTTCGTTCAACCTAATGACTCTGGATCTACACGTCAAGCCCTCAAGGATTTCTCATATTCTGCCTCCAACCAAGAGCATGATTCAAAGCATACAATTCAGCTTGGTACTTTATCTTCTTCTGTCTCTCTCCTCCCGTTCCTGTCTAAAACACTTGAACGCGCTGTCTTTAAACAACTCTCCTGTTATCTCCATCAGAACAACCTTCTGGATCCGCACCAGTCTGGTTTCAAGGCAGGTCACTCCACAGAAACTGCTCTCATTGCTGTCACGGAGGAATTGCACACTGCCAAAACTGCATCCCTCTCCTCTGTCATCATCCTGTTGGACCTGTCTGCTGCATTCGACACGGTGAATCATCAGATCCTCCTTCACACTCTCCAAAAACTTGGAGTTTCAGGCTCTGCACTTTCCCTCCTCACCTCATACCTGAAAGACCGTACCTACAGGGTGACTTGGAGAGGGTCTGAGTCCGACCCTTGTCAATTAACTACGGGGGTCCCTCAGGGCTCTGTTCTTGGTCCCCTCCTCTTCTCCCTGTACACAAACTCGCTCGGATCAGTCATTAGCCCGTATGGTTTTTCATACCACTGCTACGCTGACGACACCCAATTAATCCTGTCCTTTCCCCGCTCAGAGACCCAGGTCGTTGCACGCATCTCTGCTTGTCTAGCTGACATCTCTCAGTGGATGTCTGCTCACCACCTCAAGCTCAACCTTGACAAGACTGAGCTGCTCTTCCTCCCGGGAAAAGATTGTCCCACTCTTGACCTAACAATCAACATCGGCACCTCAGTTGTTTCCCCGACTCAGACTGCAAGGAATCTGGGTGTGACCCTAGATAACAACCTGTCCTTCACTGCAAACATCGCTGCTACAACCCGCTGCTGCAGATACACGCTTTACAACATCAGGAAGATACGTCCCCAGCTGACTCAGAAAGCCGACTCAGGTTCTGGTCCAGGCTCTCGTCATCTCACGCCTAGACTACTGCAACTCCCTCCTGGCTGGTCTACCTGCATGTGCCATCCGACCTCTGCAGCTCATCCAGAATGCAGCGGCTCGTCTGGTCTTCAACCTTCCTAAATGTCTCCCACACCACTCCGCTCCTCCGCTCCCTTCACTGGCTTCCGGTAACTGCTAGAATCCACTTCAAGACACTGGTACTTGCTTACCATGCTGCGAATGGATCTGGCCCTTCCTACATCCAGGACATGGTTAAACCGTACACCCCAGCGCGTGCACTACGCTCTGCATCAGCCAAACGACTCGTTGCGCCCTTGCTGCGAGGGGGACCCAAGTTCCCATCGGCGAAAACACGTGGGTTTGCTGTCCTGGCTCCAAGATGGTGGAATGAGCTCCCCATTGACATCAGGACGGCAGATAGCTTGCACACCTTCCGGCGCAAACTGAAAACTCATCTCTTTCGACTCCACTTCGAGTGATAGAACGATTAACGAAGCACTTTTATACCAATAAAGGACTGGATTACCTAAACCCAGTTGAGTAGCACTTGAAATGTTTGGCTCTATGAAACCTGATGTACTTATATGATTCTGTTTTCTTCAAGGTTGTGTCTTCCTGGTCGAATGTACTTATTGTAAGTCGCTTTGGATAAAAGCGTCAGCTAAATGCAATGTAATGTAATGTAATGTAATAAGTCACCATGGAGATCTAGCCCGCTAAAAAGTGAACCAGCTTCGTAGTACCGGAAATCCCAGAAGTTATCTTGATATACGAAAATCCTGCTTCGTAGTATGCCCCCCTGGTCGGGAGCAGGTTAGGTTGCAGGCTAAGAGCTCAACTCAGTGAAAGCACCGCCTGCTGACCAATCAGAGCTCAGTGTGCGGAGTTTAAAGCGATCAAGTCATATTACAGGAGAAAGGAAATAGAGAAAAGCTGCCGTTGCAGGAAAGACGGCCGGCAAAAATCACCGACAATGTGAACGTGAACATTAATAGAATATCACCTCCCATCTTCAGAGCAATCTGACTATTATAACATTAGCGTTAAGAAAGCTTACTGAAATATCTGCCACAACATAAGTAACCGGATCAGAGTCACATTAAGTACAGTCCATATCACTTCATAATGTATCATCTCCTGATCTGAGTCAGCTGAGCCGTATCTGGCCGTGCAACACTCACAGCGTCACAGACTGGATGCAGAAGTATTATTCAGTGTGAGGATGGTTCTCTTCACAGCAGCACTTATTATTGACTGGATGGTTGAACACAGTGCAGAAGACGTGCACCTCCTACTTGATCATGTGGCCCTCTAGTGGAGGTGAACAGCTCGGTACAACAGTGTGGAGAAAAGGCTTCCAGCAGCTTGTCAGTGTTTCAGCTGGTGTTTTTGTACAGAGTGTTGGTGTTTCCTGTCACTGTGGGCCTCACAGCACAGTAGAACACAGCAGAGTCTGTCACTGCAGCAGAGGAGATGATCAAATCTATGTTCTTCCCTGCAGACAGTTTAGAAGACAACTTTGTGTCTGATTTCAGAGACTCTGCTAGACTTGTAAAACTTGTTCCTGAGATGTAGAGAAGAAACTCTGGTGGTTTTCCTGGATATTGTCGATACCAGAAGAAATCTTCACTAGCCGTTATAGTTTTGGTGTATCTGTAGGAGAGAGTAACAGAGCTGCCTTCTGGACTGAACTCTTCTCTCTGTAATGCAGTGAGATCTTCACAGCTGACCCCTGAAGAGAGGAGTAATTCAAAAGACTCAGTTAATAGATCACATTTGATCAACATTAGAAGTTAACGTGTTTATGCAGAATGTTACGTACCTCTTAGAATGGAAACTAACAGTAGAGAATGTAAATAATGGTGTAATGACAGCATGTTGAATGAAGGTGATGATGGTCTGTGTTGAATGAAGGTGAATATGGAAGTTCCTCTCTCTTCTATAGTTCAGGAACATCTTAGCTCCTCCCTGAATCTCTCTGTCTCCTCTTAGATCTGTATTTCACTTCTCAGTTACACTTCCTCCTGGGTAACAGGTCATCACGTGTGTGTCGTCTGCATAGCTATGGTAACTTATTTCATTGTTATCCATTAACTAAGCTACTGGAAGCATGTAGATGTAAAATAGAAGAGTCCCCAGGATGGAGCCTTGAGGAACCCCACAGGTCATATTCGTCCACTCAGATGTTTAGTTACCTATAGAAACAAAGTGTTTCCTGTCCTTTCAGTAGGATTCAGACCAATAAAAACAGTGCCCGAGTCCCACCCAGTTTTCCAGTCGGTCTAGTAATATGTTGTGGTCAAAAGTTTCAAATGCAGCGCTGAGATCTAATAATACTGACAGTGAGTTTCTGCCACTGTCTGTGTTTAAGTGGATGTCATTAAAACGTTAATTAGAGCAGTCTCAGTGCTGTGTGACTGGGAACACATCAAAACAGTTATCAAGTGCCAAAACAGCTTTTTAATTGTTAAAAAACATTTTTCCAATTATTTATATGAAAAACAGGAAGTGTTGGTGAAGGTCCATCAGGAGTCTGGCACCTGGTGGAATGCTCTCATTGAACATTATTAGGATACATGTGAGAGATAAGTTAAAGTAACGTGGTGTTGAAGCATCAAATAAAGGAGGCCTCTCTGCTGGGGGTTGAGTTGTTTGAACGTTAGTTGTGTTGTGTGTTGTTTCCCTAAAGTCTGACAGAGAGAGACTCCCTCTGGTGGATGTTGATCAGTATTGTGTTGTCTTTGCTCCAGAGGTTTTTGTACAGAGTGTTGGTGTTTCCTGTCACTGTGGGCCTCACAGCACAGTAGTACACAGCAGAGTCTGTCACTGCAACAGAGGAGATGCTCAGATAGATCTGGGTTTTATCCTCATCTGATTTAACGGACAGTCGAGAGTTTGATGCAGGTTGTGTTCCCCAGTGAAGGATGAGGAACTCTGGTGGTTTTCCTGGATATTGTCGATACCAGTAGAAATAATCACTCGCTGCTATAGTTTTGGAGTATCTGTAGGACAGAGTAACAGAGCTGCCTTCTGGACTGGACTCTTCTTGCTTTGATGGAGTGAGATCTTCACAGCTGACTGGAGAGAGGATTAATTCAAAGAAATCATTTATTAAATCGCATTAAATTAAACTGTAATTAAACGTTTTCGCTCAGAATGTTACATACCTCTTAGAAGGGACACTAAACATAACAAAATGAAACAATGATGTAATGACAGCATGTTGAATGAAGGTGATGATGATGGTCTGTGTTGAACTCTGGTGAATATGGAAGTTCCTCTCTCTTCTATAGTTCAGGAACATCTTAGCTCCTCCCTGAATCTCTCTGTCTCCTCTTAGATCTGTATTTCACTTCTCAGTTACACTTCCTCCTGGGTAACAGATCCAAAGGCAGTCTTTAAATAAAAAGTCAGAGGACCTAGGATTGAACCCTGTGGGACACCACAATGAATCACAGACCAACAGAGAATTGTATTTTATAAAGATAAGAAAAAAAGTAATCAAAACGTAAGTCCTTGATGTGTACCTGTTTATTGAGAGAGGTGATTTAAAGTGTTTGATCAGTTAGTAAATAAAAACGTAACAATGACTTGCATTAACGTGAAGACAGATTAGTGAGAGGTGTTTCATCTAGACAGAAATCTGTTTTAAATTATCTTAATCTAATATGAATGTTGCTTCATCACTCAATATTTAAAAGGTCTTGAACACCACAACACAAGCTGCTGTTCCAATTGAACCTATGATCACATTGTGCTCAGAGATGAACTGAAACCAATGAGAAAGTGAGAGGACCTAGGATTGAACCCTGTGGTACACCATGTGAAATCACAGACTCACAGAAAAACTTATTTTAAGTTCATGGAGACTACTTACTTTTATTTCAACGTGTGATAAAAGGACAGATTTCAATGGTTGAGTTAAACATTTGAACCTGTGGATGTGAATCAAAGGCAGTACATGTTTTTGCATAATAGTGAAATGTACATACAGTATCATTCAAATGATCAAGCAGGTAAATGACATTACTGTATGATCACAAACTATTGATGTTTGTCAGAGAGAGGCTCCCTCTGGTGGATGTTGGGCAGTATTGTGTTGTCTGTGCTCCAGAGGTTTGTGTACAGAGTGTTGGTGTTTCCTGTCACTGTGGGCCTCACAGCACAGTAGTACACAGCAGAGTCTGTCTCTTTAGCTGAGATGATCTCCAGATCAACTCGTTTCTCTGTTTTGTCAATGTGAGCAGAGAAATCAGACTCAGTGGGATGGATCCCTCCTGCCTCTGTGATGTGGAGCAGGAACTCTGGTCTGGATCTCTGGTATTGTCGGTACCACTGGATATTGTAGATAGCCCCCTCATATTTACATGTCAGGCTGATGTTTCTGCCCTCTGCAACATGTTCTTCACTTCTTTCTGGCTTTATGCTGTTCATGGAGCCCAGGGCTGCAAAATGAGAATTACTCATGTCAGTTAGTCTGCAGGAGAATTTAACATTAAGAGACTCAACGGAGGCTCTTCAATTTCCTGTCATCTTTGATCAGTTTGAGATAAAACATGACCAAATGTCTTCATAGATCACAACGGTTGCTGCCTTACACAATCAAACCTCCAGGTATGAAATCTCTGGCTAATACAGCGGGTTGAATGAGACTTTGTCTCTGTTCCAACACTCACCTATGAAGAGAGAGAAGAGTAAACAGAGGTAAAGCAACATGTCTTTGGAGATGTTGAAGTCAAACAGTCAGCAGATGAGTTCTTCTCCTGCAGAAGTGAAGCAGGAAACAGCCTCTCTGCTGCTCAGCCCTTCTCCTCAACATCAGATGATTGTGCTTTTAGTTCCTCAAACATCTCACAGATCATCTCATTGGTTGATATAAACGTCAGTGGGCGGGGCCAGAGAATCATGTTTTACTGGTTTTAAACCATCAAAGTACTTTTCTCATATTTAAAACATGTAGTTCTTGTTGGGGAAATATTTTTCCAAGGCCCATAACTTTGACCCAGTTTATCAGTTCAAACTGTCCTGACTGAGCGCACGCACCTCGTAACCTTGGCTGCTGTGCTCTCAGTGTTCTGTCTCCCTGTTCCTGCCTGTTGGCGTCAGCTGATAGAGGTGTTATGATTTTATCTTGTTATGCAGCATGTTGATGATGCTCTCGGAACTAGCTAAATACATGGGTCTGGGGTAGAGTTCTTCAGAATTGACGTGGCAACTCTACCGTGAAGTCAGAACCTCTGGCTCTTGGACTTGTGGTGTGAATTCTCCGGCTGAAGCTCCCAAATAAACCATCAGTGTTTGACATCAAAGCTCCTGCTCTTCCTGAGTCGGTGACTCCCACTGCATAGCTACACAGAAGTTTCCCTTACAAATTGGCGTTGTCGGCAGGATACCAACAAATCTTCAGAACTGGTAAGTGTGATTTCAAATCCACATTTGGACATTGCCTTACCAGAATCTGTGATTGACGGTATCCTAAAATTAGCTGTGAAACTGAGCGGCTGTGTTTCGTTTTTGGTTAATGAACATTTGGGGATAATAAACCCAGGAGATCAGTGTCTGGGGACTCAGTCCTGGCTGATTTCCTCTGTGTGTGCTGCTCGGGACGAAAGTGACATACAAGCATACACAGCTCATGTTTAGAGAAACCTTAAAGAAAGGCATCAGTAAAGTGGAGCTTCTGTATGAAAGCAATGTAAAGATTTGTATTGGACAAATCAGCTGAATTCTGGGTGTTTCAGCGGCCAACACAGAAGTTGGAAATAAGCAGCCGGAGATATTACTCCTATCGCCTCTGTGAACACGGCTCCAGCAGCAGCCGCGGGTGTGTGTGTAAATACCTCCCTGTGTTTGTGGGGCTGAAGCCGTGCAGCTGAGAGGGAGAAAGTCACAGCTTTAACTCACACCACCGCCGTCTCTATTAAAAACGAGATGGTCTAAAAGCACTCGTTGTTTGTGACCGTTTTCTAACGTACATGGTAAGACGGGGCCGCGTGAGGTGCGTGCATCACCCGATGCGCCACAGTTCCCTTCTTTGCTAGAGGAGCTGGTGGCGGTCCGGGGTGCATACATAAAATGCTAGGCTAATTGATCACGGGTGGGCAGTGGCAAGCAAGTGTAGAACAAAACTGTGTTTCATCGTTGTGATGAACTCGATAGTAAGTGTATAGGCTGGTCGAGTAGGACTACAGTCAACCGTGCTGTTGTTGGAGAGAAAGGGTAACGGAAAAAGTCTATGTTCTCCTGGTCGGGGGGGGGCACAGCGCCACTAGAATAGAGTAGTGGTGTCGCAAGAGGATAAGCTAGTTATCGCTCTTGGACGGTCTTCAGGCACGATCTTAGCACTTGTAGAAGGGTGGACGCGTGAGTCAAGGCGCCCCATCAATAATTCCCCACCCCCTCTGAAACCTCTTAATTCGGACTAAATTGAGCTGAAGAGCTTTGCGGTCGCGCTGGTGTTTATTACGAGTTCATGTTTTGTTTGTCTGATTGTTTGTAGGGGGGTCTATATTGGTTTGTCCCGCCGTCTTGTGGATGTTTTGTAAGAACTAATAATGAATCAGTCCATAGACAGGGTAACATGAACTAAACTTTAGTTATCTCGCCAAAAGTAAATGACTTGAGAAAAATAAATAATATAAAGATGTAAAGCAAAATTCTGGTCGTATAAATGTGCTGCAAAATGAAAATAAATAGCAAAAGAGTGTTTTTATGTCCTGCCTCTGAGTGCAGAGGAATATGTAAACAAGAAGCCCACTGTTCAGGGTGTGCGCTAGGTGTAAGAAGAAAAGAAGATTATATTGCTTTAAGAATCCATTCTTAAATGGTATTGCTGGAATGTTAAGATATCTTTGTGAACTTGTATAAACCCTATGCCCCGTCTTACACCCTGAGACCCTCAGAGACCTGCCTGAGGAGATCAGAGTTGCAAAATCTGTTTGTTTTTTAGGTCAATGTTGTATTATTTGTTTAATTTATTCTTAAATCTATGTATTGTACGGTAATAATGAATAAAAACGTAATGTATTGAACACATTCCGAAACAAAGCAGATAAGACAGAACTAGACTCAGACATAATACTAATTGTTGTTGAAACCTTTTGCGCTGTTGCTGCAAAATGGAAACTTTGTTGATTGTCTGTTCCAACTGGCCACTGGAATCAGATAAT